AAAAGACAGAATTGGCCCATTCGCAGCAATGTGGATGGACCTCGAGGGTATTATGTTAAGCGAAATAAGCCAGTCAGAGAAAGACGAACTCTATATGACTCCACTCATAGGTGGAAGTTAATATATTGACAAGGAGATCTGATCGGTGGTTACCAGGGAAAAGGGGGGGGTGGGGTGGGGGGAGGGCACAAAGGGGGAAGTGGTGTACCCACAACATGACTAACAATAATGTACAACTGAAATCTCACAAGGTTGTAATCTATCATAACATTAATTAAAAAAAAATGAAAAAAAAAAAGGTTTATTTCTCCATCACACAATAGCCCAGTCAGGGTGTTCTGGCAGAGTTGGGAGTTGGTAAGAGCTCTGCTCCAGGGATCCAGGCTGATCATTGCTCTAGGGCCACCCAGGGCAGAAAAATCCAGTCAGCAGACAAGGAAAAAGAAAGACCATCATGCACAGGACACTTTCATGGGCTAAATACAGAAGTGGCACACATCACTTCTATCCCCATTCTATTGGCCAGAACTCAGTCACATGGCTGTAGATAAATGCAGAGGATATTGGGAATGTAGTCTCCTAGTACACCCAGAAAGATGAGAAAACACATTTTGGTGAACATGCAACAGCATCCGCCACAACCCCTAAATGCTAATCATTCTTATACCGAGGAAAAGTCTCTGGTTTTGACTTCTCTAATCTGTTTTATACCTCACATATAGTATGCATGTATTTAAATTTTTTTTAACTGAGCCCTCACCTTTTTGAGATACATATTAAAATATGTACTAGTGAAATAATATGATATCATGGATTTGGTTCAAAATAATCCAAGGAGGAAGTACATGAGAATATAGATGAGACAAGATTGGCCATGAGTCTTGTTGAAGCTGGGTTATGGGTATGTGAGGATTCATTGCATTATTCTCTTTCCTTTTGTATATATTTAAAATTTTCCTTAATAAAAAGTCCTTTTAAAGATTACTAAAACAACTTTTTGCTGTCTTGCAACAGTTTTTAATAAAAAAATATTAAAACAATAAAATCCTGACCATAATAGACTATAAGGTTCTCTTCAATGATATTTGCTACAAGTGTTCAGGCTTGTTATTAATTTCTCCTACTTTCTCCAAATATTCCAATCAAATAAGCTTATCTGCAATAGAAATGGACCAATAATAAAAGACAAAGTCCATAAGAGAATAGTACAATTAAGAGACAAAAGAGTTAATATTCATAAGTCAGTCACTTACAGAAGGAACACTCTAAGGAGAGTTAATTTATTAAGTTGGGTCTATATAATGACCACGTTTGTCACTTTCATTAAACAAACACTGACTGAGCAACTTCTACATGCAAGACACTGTGCTCAGCTCTCGAAACACAATGATGATGAGGCAGGTGTCCTTGTCTTGAAGAGTGTACTTGTCAGGAGGGGTAACACTAGTCGTTGTAGCAAACATCTCCAAATCACCATGGCTTTGAACAATAAAGTTTTATTTCTCACTGTGCAAGGTTAAATGCAGATACTCGTGGTCCAATAGCTCTCTTTTGAGCAGTAACTCAGAGTTTTGGGTTCCTTCCACTCAGAATCCTTTGTCATGTAGAAAGGAAAGAGAGAGGGTGTGTAGATGATCACTCGGGATGTTTTATGGCCAGGTCTTGAAGTAACAGAGCTCTTCACAGTCCCACCTAGACTGTGTTGCTGGAAAATGTTCTCTAGCTGTGAACCCAAAAAGAAGAAAACTAGATACCGGAGGGGGTGGGGAAGTGTGCTCTGGAATGTTCTACCAGAAAGGTGATCCAGGTTTGGTGGGAAGGCAGACATGCAAACAGACACATTCTACTAGGGTATAGTAGGATCAATAATAAAGATATGAATAAGGTGCTGTGGGAACTCTAAAGAAGGAAGTAGGGTTTTTAAAACTTTTATCAACTATTGGTACAATTTCATAAATGTGCTTGAAACTTAATTTGTTTGGGCTATTAAATTTGTAATTCTTTTTCCACAAAAATTGCAATCCAGTTTTCCCTAACTCCTCGAAAGTAGAGCACTGCTGGCAGCCTTGTTTGGCAACTTTAGTCACAGAGCACAGGCGTTTATCAATACTAGTTATGTGTGCTTACTAGAACACAAATTCACCCGGAATTTGGATCTCACAGTGTGAAAGGATTTTAATAGGATTCATTCATACATTTGTTCAACATTTTATAAAGACTTCTGTCCCCAAAATTCAATTTACAATTTTTACAACATTTTAAAAGACTTTGATCTCCAACTCTCCCTTTACAAATTTACAAGAATTTACACTCACTGCAAGGATTTCTTTCCAGAGTTTTTTAAAAGCTATTTTTCCTTAGGAACCAAAAATGTTAATTTTAGAGAAGAGGAGAGGCAGTTGAGGCTCACATGTGGGGACGGTGTGTGATGAAAATGCAGGACACAGCCACGCCTGGATTCTAATTTAGATCAGCCTGCCTCAGGCAACAGGAAAGTCATTTGTCCCTGTGTGCCCATACCGTAGTCTGGCACAAGTCGTGGTGAGAGCCACCCTTAAACTCAGTCTCTGACTATCGGATTCTTGTTTGCCATCTTAATTTATATATTCCATCCATGTGCCAATTCTCCCGACCTCCCCTCCTTTCTAAGTGATTCTAATTACAAAACACACAGGAGGATCCTTGAGGGACCTGAAAGCTGCTGGGGACACCCTCTTTGATCTCCCATCTGAACCACAACGGTCTATTGTTTCAATTCTCCCTCAGCTCTCCAGTTGACAATTATTGGCATTTTAGAGCCTGGAGATAGCAATAAGATGCCCGACAGGACCGGCCACCTAAAAATCCAAAGGAGGCACTCCCACCAAACATCTCCCCTTTCTTCCTCCTCCCTCCCTCCACAAAAATTACTGAAAAGGAAAAGATATCGAGTGCTTTATAGAAAGCTGCCAATATATTAATAAGATGCTAGGGCTGGTTAGAATTTTAAAGATGCTCAAGTCATCTCTAAAGCGGCAACTAGCCCTTCCTTCCCCTGACAAAATAAACCACAGGCGCACTATTCCTTAACCACCGCTATTTAAATTCTACAGAATGCCACGATGACCCGAGGAACTTTCGGAATGTTCAGTGTTTCTTGTCTTAATTTGGGTAAGACTTGGCCGAGGTGCCTGGTGTAAAGATGTGAACTCCGAAGGTTAGTTGACTTAAGAATCTTACTTGTTCGTAGGACCGCGAGGAGGAGGGCAGAGACCGGGCGGGGGGAGGGGCGTGTCGGCGAGAAAGGTTTGTTTATTTAATTTCAGTCGCCAAGAGACAATGGGGAGGATCCATCCCGGGGGCACTGGAGTCCAGGATGCGGGATGGGCTTGGAAATTTGCGAAATAGATACGTGCGAACGCCTGGGCTGGCAGCGCCGCTAGCGGGGAGGGAAGAGCAGGGCGGGCACAGGGGAGGAGGGAAGGAGGAAACCGGTTGGGAGGCAGGGGAAGCGCAGTATAAAAGGCCCTAGCCTTACCGTGCGCCCGCCACTCCGAGCCACTTTGGGAAGGCGGGAGCCAGGGCAAGATCGAGAGGGAGGGAAACGCGCGGGGCCACTGCTGTGACCTGAGCCCACCTCCGGACCCAATTCTTTCTTGCCTCCCCGGCGAGGACCCCGCACCCTCGGCTCGACCCCGGAGCCCTTCTACTCGCCAGCTGCCCCCTGCAAGGCATGAGCGGCGCGCGGGAGCCCGAGGCTGCAGCGCGGTCATGAGGCGGCGGCCCAGGAGTGGAGGCTGTGCGACGGCAGACCCCAGATCCCCACCGGGCGGGGCGCCTCCAGGATGAGCCCTCCGACCCGCGACTGCCTGAGCTGAGATTCACCTGGGTGCCCAACCTACGTTCCGTGCGCCTGAGCCGCGGGCACCCGGCCGCGGCAGCTTCCCGCCGCGACACCTGCGCGCTGGACCAGACGCACGCCCAGCGAATCGGACTCGCTTCCCTTCCCAGGCTCTACAGGGCTCCGCGGGCGCGTAAGCTGCAGTACTCCGGGAGAGGCGGCCAGCCGTCCAGGAGCAAGTGTCAAGACCTTTCTGGAACGACACTTTATCGCCCCCCTCATACACACGCACGCCAGCGTCAGGCAGGGGCGCACAGTCGCAGACAGACACCTGGCTTGTCCGGCGCCCCCTCCGTTCTCCATCACCACAACTCCCAGCTCCACTCTATCAATAAAGGTTTCTAAACTCGCCTAGGCACCCCCACCCACCCACAGCCCAGAGCCTCAGTGCGCACAAGGGCTCTGCCCTCGCCGGCCACAGCGACCTCGGCAGCGGTGGCGCGCACTTGGCACAGCCCGGCAGGAGGACGCGGACCCCAGAGGGGTGCCCAGGTCACCTCCAAACAGTGACAACACCCGTGTACCCCAGGCCCCCATCTGGAGCCGGCTCACCCTAAGACTCGGCGGCGGGGCGGCGCGGCCCGCGGCCCGAAAGAGCGCAGGGAGGAGGGGAGGTGGCTCGTCGGGTGAGTGGCTCCGGGCGGCAAGGGCGGGGGAGCCAAGCGTGGAGGTAACTCCGGGCCGCCACTGAAGCCCTCCTCCTCCTTCTCCTCCTCCTCCTCCTTCTCCTCCTCCTCCTGCTCCCCGCGCTCCTCTGGCGGCCGCTCCCGCTCCAGCTGCGGCGCCGCGGCCACATCTGGGGCGCCCATGTGCACTCGGGGGCTCGGCTGCGCCCGCCCCGCCGCCGCCCCCGCTGCCCCCTGCCCGCAGGGTGGTCCCTGGCCCGGCCCGGGTCCCGGGCAGCCCCCAGTCCCTGCCGCCGCCGACGCCGGGGCGCGCCGGGGTTTGCTCCGCAGCCGGCTTGGACGCCCCCGGCCCCGCCGTGGCTCCGCCGTGGTGCGGAGGCGGCGGCGGCGGCGGCGGCGGCGGTGGTGGCTCCTGCTCCCCCGGCCCGGCGCGCCCCGCCGCGCCCAGCGCCAGCCCTGCGGGCCCGGGGAGCGGGGCCCCGGCGGGGGCCGAGGCGGGAGCCGCGCTGCCGGGCTCCCGGGCTCCGACTCCTCCTCCCCCGGCGCCACCGCCACCGCCGCCGCCGCCCGCCGCGCCAGGTCCTAAAGCCGCGCGTCTCAAGAGGATGGTGCGCCTGGCGGCCGAGCTGCTGCTGCTGCTGGGGCTGCTGCTGCTCACGCTGCACATCACGGTGCTACGCGGTTCGGGAGCCGCAGACAGGCCAGACGCGGCCGCGGGCAACGCCAGCCGGACCGAGCTGCAGGTGAGTGCGCTGCCGGAGAGGGGCGCGCGTGGCAGCGGGGACGCGGGTGGCGGGGTGCTGAGCTAACGACTGACGGATGCGAGGAGGCGGGTCCCGCGTCCCACCAAAGAGCAACTGTTTTGGCAGCGGTTTTGCCTGGGCAACCTGTCTCAGGCAGAGGCCGAGCAAGGGGATGCGCCTGGGGACTGGCTTCAAGGTCTGGCAGATCCCCTTCTCCAGGTCTGTCACGGGTCAGGTGCCTGGGGGTGCGAGGCTTGGGATGGGCGGAGGAAGTGTGGAGCGTGTAAGTGTTTGCTCTGGGGTGCTGCCAGTCTTTGGTTGCCCTTTAGAAGCTGAGTAATGTTGTTCTGGGCGGGGGGAGCAGAAGGAGACTGACTATGGGATGAGATCCCCAAACTAGGTTTGAGAAAAGAACCCGAGTGAGCCTGCCCCTTCAGAGAGCAATGCCAAAGGTCAGGAAATAATTTGTCGAGGAGGATGGCCAGACGTCCTCTCTCCTCCCACGCGGTCCCTGTGCCTCCCGTGTCCTTCCCCAGCCATGCAGAGGGCGCGGAGTCAAGCCACTTGTCATACTTTGGGCTGGAGTTGCCCGGGGCTTTTAAACGTGTAGCAAAGACTTCTTCCTAGCGTTCTGCCCCTGTTGAAGGTCGCCTTAGGAATGGGATTCTGATGATCTGTTCAGCTATGAGACAGGGGAGTAGGTCGCAGCTGGGGAGGGGGTAGCGGGCGTCAGACACAAGGTGAATTCTGGTTTCCGAATAAAGGATTGCCCCGGTAGGGATTTCCTGTCGCTGCCTTGGAAAGCGCGTTTCTTTGGGTTTGAAGGTGTGACAGCTGTCAGCTCGGGGCATGGGTAGAAGTCAGCAGGGATTTTCCCAGGAACCATCGGGAAATTTCTGGCTTCTGAAATCTTCTCTTCAAACCAGCCCCCCTAAAACTCTTCACTCTGCAATGTCGAGATAAGCGTTATTCATTGTTCCCAAAGGGCTTTACAGTCATTGCCCTTGCTAATTCATTTTTTACATCTTTATGTCATTTGTAGAGGAAAAACTCTACTGTTAAGGAGAGAAGAATTCACTTAAATACTTCCATAGTGCTCACCATGTGCCACTGTTTTAAATGCTTTACAGACTTTAATTGATTTAATGAGGTACTATACTGTTAATATCCCCCCTTTACAGACACAAAAACTGAGGCAGAGAGGTTAAGAAACTTAGTTCACACATCCCAGATTCTTGATTAATTACACAACATTTTCTCTCTGCCAGGGTGTTTAGACTAAAGCATGGTGATCCTTGCACACAAATACAAACCAGCAATGGAAAAGTATACACCCCAGAATCTCAAGTTCTTTTAAATGTGGGACATTTCTGAAAATGTCCTATCTTTGTGGGGCCCCCTCGTCTCCTTCTGTGGGAAAACAGGTACAGTGACAGACTGACGGGATTCCTTTGGGGAATTGAGTCACCACCATTCTATAGACTGTGGTACACCCACCTGTCTAACACTGTAGGACTAATTCTTAATATCTTCAAGATTTCTGGAAGTCATATTTTAAATATGATGCTTTCTTTCCTCGTGGACTCATGAAAAGCTGTAAAAATGATGTTCTATGGAAAAGTAAATTTGGCAGATTTCTTTATGAGGTGTCTGCTATCATTAGAATAACCTGGGGTTGGCCTTTTCCGCCTGAACAGCAAGGTAATGAGAGAAGCAGCTGGTGGAAGTGGCAATGGCAGAGGGGAAGTGGATTAAATTCTCAGAAGGGCTTTTGGCCGAAGAACTGCCCCAAGAGGGCAGAAGAAAAGGGGGATTTAGAAAAAGTAATGCTCCCAGGAAGATCTTGAGTCCCTAGCAGCTGCTAATCCACCAGCTTCGGCTTATCTGTTAGTAGTGTTTAGTTATTCTATTCACTCAAGGCACTTTATCCAAATGGAATGATGAGTTTCATAGTTTAGTTCATAATTTTACCCTCTTTTGTAATTTGTTATTATAAAAGTTTTATATTCTTCCTGACTAAAGTTATTTCTTTGGCCCTTTGACTCTCCAAAGGCATTACGATTCAAATGGAGAGAGTATGTTCTGCCAAGTGGGGAGGTGTGCAAGAGATATTTATTAGTGTGCCATTTTCAGGTCCCTACAGTGAACCCTAGTAGCAGGTGTATTTGAAAACAAAACTATGGACACTATATTCTTTCTGTTTACTGGATATTTTTAACTTCTCTTAAACTCCATTTAAATTTGAAGACGCTGTGATATCTTAAGCTGCTAAAATCATTCTTTGCAACCAGAAAGTTAATCAATCCTTATACTACATTATTTTTGTTGTCATATCTGCTTAAAACATTCTAAAATATGAGGTTGAAGTCAGAAATACACGACGGTAGGTTTATTGACCCAAACTGTAGTATATTTGGGATCATTTAAAAAGAGATACACCTTTATTTAAGCTCAAGTGGTTTTGACATTTCAAGGACACCCAATAAAATGGTAGTAAGAATAACAACCATAATAGCTAAGATTTGTCAAGTGCTTTTTATGTGTCAGGCACTGTTCTTAGCACTTTACGTATATTAACTGTTTAAATCCTCAGAAAAATCCCATGAATTTGGTGTGATCGTTATCCCTGTCTCACATGAAAAAACTGGGGTTAGGGAACTTGCCCAAGGTTGCCCTCATCGAAGATGCTTAATTTGTTTTTGTTATTTCATAGTGTAAAAATCTTTGAGGAATGTTTGTATTCCAAGTTCTTCGTAAAGTCATCATGCTGACTACAAGAGGGAGAAAGCCTTTTAACAATTTACATTTTCCAACGTACCTTGACAGTCTTATTGTGCCAAATATGAACACATATACGCATATATACCCACACATTGATACATTACACACACACACATATATAAACATGATCTAACAAGATTTTTTGGTAGTTTCAGCATACTAGGGGAGATGTTTTTGCCTCTGTAAGTGACTGTCCTGTCCTGTAGATGTGCTGTTATGAGGTGGCAGTAAAATGCTTTGGCACACTATCTCTATTGGTTATGTGGCTCATGAACATAATGATCTTAGTCTTTGTACTGTTTTCAATGCTTTATTTTAAAATATCTAATAAGAAATTGTACAATTTTCTGCAACACCTCCCTAGAAATGCACAGAGACATCAACCTTGTTCACTTTTGAATGAAATCTTATCTCCTCTCTGAAATAAGTTTGTCTCCTGTTGATCAGCTACTCAGATTAGTTCTTTCATAGTCTTTAATTGATAATAGTAAGAGAACAACTATATAAAATAAAAGCAGTCTGGAAGACAGAATATCCCAAAATATAGACTCCACAGGCAATAATGATAATGGTGGTATCTCTTTTACTTAAAATTCAAATGAGCACCTCTCTACTAAATCTCAGCCAGATTTAGAACCATAAATTTCCACAGATTTTAAGTTATAAAGCAAGAACTCATTTAGACAGTGAGACTTAAGCAAGTATTGTAAAACATCAGATTGATTAGTTTTACAATAACATTAAAGCAAACCACACTCTGATGTGTAATTAAATGTTTTTGTTCTCTATCTCCTAACTAGCATCTTTATGAGTACTTTCCCCATTTTATCCCTCTACTTGCCTTCAATAAAAGAGCTTAGCTTCTTGTACTCACTGCTTCAGATTCAAGAGTTCATCTGAACTATTTGTACCAGTAGAAGCAAAAGCAACATTTATTTGTACTTCGTACAAGTAAGGTTCCTTACAATGACCCCCATGGGATAGGTAGCATTTATATACCTGTTTCACAAATGAGGAAATTGAGGCCTGAAGAGTTCTGAGTAGCTTTCCCAAGGCCGCACAGCTGTGATGGGGCAGGGCTAGGATTCAGACCCAGGCAGGCTGACTGTAGAGCCCAATTTCTTGTTCCAGTCCATCAACAAGTCTCCTCTAGCTCTGACTGAAGTCAACAGCCATTATGTTTCTTGTTTTGTGACTTGCTTGCCCATTTTCCAGACAGGCCATTTGCTCTTATCCCTGGAATTCTTTATAAATTATGCATAACTGTTCCACTTAGCTATTGCTGCATAACAAACCACTCCAAAACTTAGTGGCTTAAAACAACCATTTTATTTGCTCATGAGTTTGTGTGTCAGCAACTTGCTCTGGGCTCAGCTGGGTGGTTCTTCTGCTGATCTCACCTAGGATTACTCATGTGACTACAGCCTTCTGTTGACTCGATGTGGGCTAGAGGGTCCAAGATGACCTCACTCATATGGCTGATAGTTGGTGCTGGCTGTCACCTAGGCTTTCTTTCCGTATAGTCTTTCATCCTCAAGGAGGCTAGCCTGCACGTCTTTACATGGTGGACTCAGAGCAGCAGAATTTGCAAGACCTCTTGACCAGCTTGCACAACATCACTTCAGCTGCATTCTATTGGCCAAACAAATCACTGAGTCTGTTCAGAGTCTAGGGGACAGGAAATAGACTCCTCTTGATGGGAGAACAACAAAGCACCATCAAAAAGGAGCATGTGTACCATGATGGAAGGAATTATTGTGGCAATCTTTGCAAAATATCTACCATGTTGACTTTTTGTTTCATATACTTTGTAAATGCTTGGACCAACCTTGCACTCATCTTTTAACATCGTTTCTGCTGCTTTTGGCCATGCAGAAACTTTCCATTTTAAATGTAATCCACTCTCAATCCTTTCCCTTATGACTTTTGGTTTGCTTGCCTTACTTAAGAAAGTTTTCCTTAAATAAAGATCATCAACATCTTTGTTCTAAAAGTTTTGTAGGTTATTTGTTGTTTTTTGGAACTGCAATCTACTTTGAAGTTATTTGTGGGTTTAAGGTTTAAGATAAAGATAAAACTTTGGTTTTTGTCCAAGTGAATAGTCACATGTCCTATTATATTTCTTAAATATTCCACTCTATAGTCATTGATACAAAATACCACTTTTATCACATATTAAAGTTTTCCCATATACGTAAGTCTGTTTCTTGACCTTCATT